GAACAGTGAGCTGGATCAGAACAAAAGAACTCTGCTTCCTACACAAACGAGGCATACCTAGTAAAACTCAGCATTGGAAACTGACTAGAATAGGAGGTTCTCTCCAGTCCAATACACTGTACTTGCTGGGAACAGACACGAGTGCTATTTGCACTGTGTATGGGCAGAAGAGCACAAGAGTCGCTGTCCTTACCCTGAATTAACACTTGCTGCTAGAACGTGAAACTGAATCTGATTAATCTCCGTTTAAGAATGGCAATTGAACCCTTCTTCCTTTACAAGAAAAACACTCTGCTTTTCAAAAACGGGCACTCGTGTATTCTACTATGTTTCCTATAGGGCCAGAAGAGTGAGCTGGCTCAGAACAAAAGAACTGTGCTCCCTATACAAACGAAGCATACCTACTTCAACCCTGCATTGGAAACTGACTAGAATAGGAGCTTCTCTTCAGACCAATACACTGTACTTCCTGAGAAGAGACGCGAGTGCTATTTGCACTGTGTAACAGCAGAAGAGGACAAGAGTGGCTGTTCTTACCCTGAATTAACACTTGCTGCTAGAACGTGAAACCAAATGTTATTCAACTCTGTTTAAGAATGGCAATTGAACCCTAGCTTGCCTTACCAGAAAAAAACTCTGCTTTTGAGAAACCGGCACTCTTATACCCTACCGTGTTTCCTATAGGGCCAGAATAGTTAGCTGGCTCAGAACAAAAGAACTGTGCTTCCTACACAAACGAGGCATACCTAGTACAACTCAGCATTGGAAAATGACTAGAATAGGAGGTTCCTTCAGTCCAATACACTGTACTTGCTGGGAACAGACGGTCATGCTTTTTGCACTGTGTATGGGCAGAAGAGCACAAGAGTGGCTGTTCTTACCCTGAATTACCACTTGCAGCTAGAACGTGAAACTGAATGTGATTAAACTACAATTAAGAATGGAAATTGAACCCTAGCTTGCCTTACAAGAAAAACACTCTGCTTTTGAGAAAGGGGCACTCTTATATTCTACTGTGTTTCCTGTAGGGCCAGAAGAGTGAGCTGGCTCAGAACAAAAGAACGGTGCTTCCTACCCAAACGAGGCATACCTAGTTCAACTCAGCATGGAAAACTGACTAGAATAGGAGCTTCTCTTCTGTCCAATATACTGTACTTGCTGGGAACAGAAGCGAGTGCTATTTGTACTGTGTATGGCCAGAAGAGCACAAGAGTGGCTGTTGTTACAATGAAATAACACTTGCTGCTAGAACGTGAAACTGAATGTGTTTCAACTCCGTTTAAGAATGGCAATTGAACACTAGCTTTCGTTACAAGAAAAACACTCTGCTTTGGACAAACGGGCACTCTTGTGCTCTACTGTGTTTCCTATAGGGCCAAAACAGTGAACTGGCTCAGAACAAAAGAAATGTGCTTCCTATACAAACGAGGCATACCTACTTCAACTCAGCATTGGAAACTGACTAGAATAAGAGCTTCTCTTCATTCCAATACACTATACTTGCTGGGAACAGATGCGAGTGCTATTTGCACTGTGTATGGCCCGAATAGCAAAAGAATGGCTGTTCCTAACGTGAGTTAACACTTGATGCTAGAAATTGAAACTCAATGTGATTCAACTCCGTTTAGGAAGCTTAATTTAACCCTAGCTTGCCTTACAAAAGAAACACTCTGCTTTTGAGAAACGGGCACTCTTGTACTCTACTCTGTTTCCTATAGGGCCAGAACAGTGACCTGGCTCAGAACAAAAGAATGGTGCTTCCTACACAAATGAGGCATAGCTAGTTCAACTCAGCATTGGAAACTGACTAGAATAGGAGCTTCTCTTCAGTCCAATACACTGTTCTTGCTGGGAACCGACGCGAGTGCTATTTGCACTGTGTATGGGCAGAATAGCACAAGAAGCCTCACGTGACTTTGTCCCTGGTGTTCTTCTGGGGACACCTGTGTGAGAAACTGCATTTCCAGAACCAGCTCTCGTGTCCTTTGGCCAATGCTGGAGTGTGAAATAGTCCAATGTGGGATTTTTCTTACTAGTAGTAAAAAAAGGATGATCACAATCGGGAATCGTGACATTTTTTTCTTTTTGATGATAGTCATGTTCTGTTTTGAAATAACCTCTGTGTATTTCATTTATTTTCTTTTAACTGGCGATCTCTGAGCAGGCCTCAGATTTTGACAGTTGATGAAAGATACGACAAGCATTAATGTGTGGGTGAAATGCTTGGTGAAATTCTGAGTGAAGTTTTAATTAAAGTTGGTTGAACTTGGGATTGACTGGGAGGCCAAAGATTTAAAAAGCAGAAGATTCTCTGAAGACACAAGCTGTGTGATAATA